AATAAGTATCAATTCCACCTTCCTGACATGCCATCAGCTATTCTACGACGGGTTGTACAACCAATATAGCAAATTTTACTCAACTTTCTACGGAGCCACGTGCATTGCGCTTATCTGTTCATGGCAGCGCCCTCAGCATGCCTAATCTCAGTTGGCCTAATCTTACCCTAATGGATCCTTTGGCTGTGAAAGTTTTAGTATTTTCCCCCTGATTTTTGAGTTTCAAGCCATTTTCAAGATGCCCCATATAATAAATATTGGTAAATTGATTATTATCACGTGACTGTGGCTAGGTGCTATTTCAAAAAACATGTGCCGTGATACATTTTTCAAATACATGTTCCATGCTGAATAAACAATGAGTTTCTCCTGCATATCATCTCTTAGTTATTTTTGACTTGAGTAGATCCCTTATCATAGCAACAAGACAACAGTACAATGTACACCACAAAGGATATCAGCTTTTTTTTTCTTCTGTAACTCCTCCTGCCATAGTCCATGCCTTTTTAGTTCATGCTCCACTATAGACATTACTAAGGCACCAATTTTAAAATGTGCTATCACACCATGGAACTGAGAAAAACTTGAAAAACAGAAAAATACGTAGATAATATTGGTGGAGAGCTCTACACTCTTCTTCCAGTCTTCTCGAAGTACTCTCGCCAATGCACCAAGTATGGTTTCTAGAAAAACGCAACAAAGTGTGTATAATTAGATTATGCAGAGTACGCTCACCAATACATCAATTATCATTTCTAGAAATAGTGCAACAAGGTGCGTATCAGATTATATGAAATACTCTCGCCAACGCACTAAGTACGGTTTCTAGAAAAAAGCAACAAAATGTGTATAATTAGATTATACAGATCACTCTCCAATGCACCAAAATCCTTAGGTCATGGGGCTTCCCCTGACTTTGATTTCTCTCTCCGTATGTTGGCTGAATCACAGATTAATGCCTACAGTTCAAAAGTGTTTTGACTGACCGGAGTCTATGATGGATAAATGAACATAGTGAATTAGACCATTTTCTGTTCACTACTAGATCCCAATTATACATGAAATTGAATGTAAAAACAGAAAAAGCAAAAGACATATCAGCTTAGTGACACCAAAACTTTGCATGGGATTCAACTATTTTTTAGGTATATCCACCTTTAATTAATGTGCTATAAACATGATTAATTTTGATGAAGTTAAGATATCTCAATGTCATACTCTTCTCTGAAAGATAGGAATTTTGACATAGAACTTTGAAACAGAGAAACTAAAGTTCAAAAACAAATCATTCAAATTTTTAAGGAAGACATTTGATTCACGTCTTTCACGCATTATTCAAGATTTCAGTAATCAGAAAATCTTGTTGTCATGGCTGGGCCAGTCTACATCACCCCTTTAAATACATGTTTAGTTTGTTATATCTGTTGATATATGCATTTACTGTAAAATACTTTATTTTAGCTGGAATTAATTTTCGCTGAAAACACTCTTTGGGTGTTTTGTATGGAATTTATTTTCACTTAATTTTGACGAGTTGAATGTAAAATACAGGAAAAAAAGGTACATTCGCTGGATTTTACTTTCACTGAATCATTCAAAGGAAAAATAAAGTGTTTTACAGTAATACATTGTATTTGAGTAAAATATTAAAAAATAAATAAAACAAGTCATTGTCAATGACACGTCCCCGTTCCGTTAATATTTGAGTGACATATACATTCAAAGCAGATCACGACCGAAATGCACCTGCATATGTACAACACATTGTACTAAATCTGAACAAAATCCATCCATGCATGACTGAGATCTGGTTCCGGAATTGTGAAAATACGTGATTTTAATGCATTTTCGGTCTTAAAATGGCCATCATTCAGCTATTGTTAAGCAGATCATGAAACAAATGCACATACATATTTGTGACATGATGTACCTTGTGTGTGTGAAGTTTGAACTTGATCAATCCAGACATGTCTCGGATACGGATCCAGAACTGAATTCTTTAAAACAAAATGGCCGCCAGTCGGCAATTTCGAACTTGATCCGAAAAAAAAAATGACGTGCATCAAGGTCCTATTATGTTTAATGTATGTACCAAATTTGAACGAAATCCGTCCATGCATAACTGAGATCCGGGTCCGGAATGGTGAAAATGTGCGATTTTGATGCATTTTCGGCCTTAAAATGGCCGCTATTCGGCTATCATTAATCGGATCATGAAAAAAATGCATGTGCATATGTCCCATATAATGTGTGATGTATGAGTGAAGATTGAACATAATCGGTCCATGCATGTTCGAGATACAGGTGATCACGGACGGACGCACGGACGCACACAGGGCAAAACATAAGTCCCCGTTTTCGGACTCCGTCCAAACGGGGACTAATAACTAAAACAGCGATTGAACTCACCATTTTGTAAGAGCTCTTCTAGGTTGTCAGGATTTCGTGCAAGTTGTAATACTAAAGCAGTCCCTCGTACTTTTTCAGGAGTGTCTTCATATAAATATTCAATATAGTCTTCAATGTCATTTATATTAGCTAACTCATCAAGCTACAATGACAAAGAGATCTATTTATTTATTCAACCAGTAGTTATTAAAATGCAGATGCATATCACCCACTCATACTATCATTTCCTGCCAACGGTTTTGAATTATGTGTAAACAAGTATTTTAAATGCATTGTACATGTATGTGATGCATGAACCCAATAACGAACACAACGCCTCATGGGGACCATGTTTAGTAGTCAGGTAGTACACATTCAAGCATTATCAACAACAGTATCATCAAACTATTGTACTATTGATAAAAACATGCATGTATGTACCAAATTGAGGACACTATATTCTTATAAGTAATTCTTTTTTATTCACATACCTCGGTTCCTTCATAGGGAGGCGGATCTTTCAGTTTTCCTGTTAACGTTCCTTTTTTACCTTGGTCTAGAAGTAATGAAAACATGACTGACATCAATACACAGAATACAACCCACCTTTTAGTACAAAATGATGTTCAATATTTAAGTTGTTGATAACAATGAATAAATATGACTTGGCTGTAAATGATAGACATGTGACTTAATTAGAAACAGACTTACATTGTTGCAGAAGCTCAGTAAATGTAATTTCTTGGTTAAGGTTGTACCCCTCCCATAAAATGTTAATAGTTCAAAATAGTCAGCAAAATATATGCATGTGTATGTGCTTCACTTCAGCTATTAAAGTGCTGGGTGATTTTGAATTTGAGTGGGTAAGCAAGGGTTTTGTTTCATATGGCAGACTACAAGCCCAAATTGGTAGACTACTTTATGGTCTATCCCCCCTCCAACCGCCTACGATGGTCTCGCTGCAGCACGTTGCACTGCCAAAAGCCTTTTTATTTTTTTGGGCCTGTTGTTACAGAATGATGGCCTGCTATTAAAAGCATTTGAGAAACCCATAGTAGGCCTCCACAGTCAGTTATGTAAATGTACACTTATTAGACACACGACCTGGCAAGTATTGCTGTATAGTTGATTTTAACTGCACATTTCACTGAAGTGTTCTTGCAGTGTGTTGTCTTTGACGTTTGTGATTGTTGCTGTGTATTTTTGTTCGTAACTTTACATAATATCGCAAAATTAGGCAAGGAAAATCTGCTAAAATCCTCTCCCAAAAAAACGTTTTCTGAGCTTCTGTGACAATGCAAGACTATCTCTAAATACGATCTATGTAATCATTTGAGAATATCAACCATACGAGGCAGAAGAAAATTTGGCTACACATCATATTTGCATATTCACAATTGAATCCACAGAACATCTGAATTATTTTTTCAGTTGTTATGGCTACCAGAATTTATTTCACAAAACAACACATGTGGTAACTTACCAGAACCTTTGGTTGGAGAGTTTTTTTTTCTGTTTTGTAAGTAGTATAAAAGTTGTTCAACTTCTGGAAGTTTTGACGGATGGATTAATTTACATTTATCGACCACTTCCCGTGCTAACGCAGCGACGTCGGTGGCAGAGTTCAGGTTTTTCAGACGAATTCTGTAAGAAATGTGTACAGTATAACATGCATTCACTGATAATGGAAATAGGTGGTATAGTATAGCAAGAGAGGTTTAAAATAGATACATTGCTGGAACAAGTATAATTGAAATCAAATCAACTCGATGAGTAACCTGGCATCTCTAACGTTTGTGTGAAAGTTAAATAATGTGATGTATTCTGCGACTATATACAAGGACAGTGACCAATTTTGAATTCTATGTAATGATTGGTTCAAGACAATGACACCAAACTCCAATGCAGACCTGATCCAGTGTCATGTTCACACATTTTTCGATAACCTTCATTCTGTATTTTTGACTCATTGCAAAGCCATATGATTTTATTTTTGTGCATGGACACAACAATAACTTGAAGTCATGCATCAAATATCAAGAAAAGTATTTTATCTTATTTGCAAAGAAGAGATTGAAAATACCAATGTTATTCTGTGACAAATCTGGATGGCATAACAAATTTTAAATTAAATGTGAATCATTTATGAAAAATGTGGTTGTCGGTTTGATTGAATTGGGTTGATAATTCACATGGTCCGGCAGCCATCTTGGAATCAATATAAACCAGAAGTACTCTATTTCACATACATTGTACTTCCAAGGATCTCAGTGATTTGAAATTGTTGTTATAGCAACAATGGAATATGTACCACCAGTATTATAGATAAAAAACTTTAATCAAATTTATCGAAAAAAACTAGTACTCACATTTTCTGGCACTCCTTTCTTTCCCCTAGCATAGGATCCCCCAGCTCACCAAGAATAGTCGCTTCTAATTCATAATTCACAACTAAGGCTTTTTCTGTTGGATGAACATCAATATTGCCACCTTTTACTTTCCTGAAAGAGAAAAAAATAAACATCAAGAAATTGTAAATAATGTCGCCTGAGATTAACAAACCTGTGTATAGATATGCATACTGGATTGTGTTTGTTTTACGTGATGTCATCAGTGAGCAGTATTTGTATGAATAATGAACGCCACTGACATACATGGGAATGCTGTGGTGCAACTACTAATAGTTATGCTGATTCACTGGTGTGTCAACTGTGAATCATATATTGATATAATGATTTTGAAAAACTATAGTTACAGAATTTGTAATTTAGTGAAACAAAATTCACAATTTTTATAAACAAAATAATGTACTAGTAATTGTGTCCCAAGCTTGAACATAGCAATCAAACAAGGGACTTAATTAAATGGCTGTTATAGACATATGGAGGAAACTATGGGGCTAATCTCAGAGAATCTTGAAGGTGTCTGGCATTTTTTTCATGAAACTTCCTACCTGGGGACAATAGTGTAGTGATAGTGTACGGTAGGGGAAAACAAGGTGATAAGGCAGGAGGTGGGGCATAATATATGTAGCAACTCTAGTGATTTTTCTTCTCCCTCAACATACCCCAATGTGGGGAGGGGTACTAGTAGCGCATTATAATACATAGACTTTCTCCATACTCTCTGATATTTGCATACACATGTCATCAATAGATATATCTTTTTTTTCACATGCCCTTCTGTATTAACGTATGCACGAATAAATGTTGCTTATCATGACATCTTTTGCAATGCCCATATCAAATTCAACAGAAGGTATGAACAGGTCAAATAGTTTTAAATACTATTATTAGCTAAAGTTCCTACTATGGTGTAGACGTGTTTTTTCATTACCAGCAATAACAATATTATAAAACAATATTTATGGTCGATAATAATAATTTATTGACACAACACCGATATAGTACAATACGGCAGTATGGCCACTAAATACAACTATTAACGACATTTAAAATAGAATTAACATATTTGGCGAAAGGTAT